GGGAGAGAGAGGCCCCGGGGGGAGGGGTGGTCCTTCTTGGGGAGGAGGAGAGGGGGAGGCAGGGAGAAGGTTTTGTTTGGACTGTATTGGGTGTGAAGGGGGAGGAAATGGGTCGTGGAGAAATTGAGAAGAGTGCATGTATCTTTCAAAATCCCCAAGCAAGATCATGTGGGTTTGTGGCTTTTGTTGGAAAGTCAGGTCTGATGGAATTCTTTTACTTTTATATCTAATGGATTTAGGGTGTTTTTGGAGTGCTTTGACTTTGACGAAGGTAATAGTCCTATTTACCACGATGAATTTCAAACCCATGGTTGTGTGATTCTCTGAGTTGATCTCATATTATTGTATCGTTTAATATTGTGATCCATGATTTAATGAATCGTATAAAACTGTTCATTGCCTTAATTATTTTAAGTTTGTGGTTATACCATAATTATCAATCAATCGTACACATTACATAAATTAAATTTTATTATTGAGATCAAAAGTAAAATATAAAATATATATTTCGAAAGTCTTTTCATCTAGATTTATTTGACGGAAACTTCAATGTGAATTATTTCTTGACCTTAATGTTTTGTAGAGGTAAAGCAATAATTTCAAAAACGAAAATCATGACAGAAAGAAAATGGTTCGATCTAATCTATCCAAAAGAATTTTTCGCATGATTGATTTGATATTGATTACATTATCATATGAACTGGTTGTTAAGTGGGGCCACAAATTAATTTTTCCAAAAGGAAAATAAGTTAGTTAAAACTGTATAAATTGGTTGGTTTGCTCGTTAATTTTAGTGATGTCCCATCAATAAGGTTGGCCCAGTCATTGATATGGCTAGCTCAGATGTAGATGTTAGTGGGCAACATGTGAAGAATGGAGGGGTAGGGTCCATGTAGGTGAACAGTGGGACCCAATAATAGAATTGGGATTAATTACCCCGGTTAAATTGTGATGGTCTGTCTAAAAAACAATTAGGGTTTAGAATTTAGAGCTGATTGGTAAAGCATGGAGTTTGGATTGAACATTGGCTGTAACATTCAAAACTATTTAGAGATTTATCTATCATGAATATCTTATTTTTAACATAAATGACCTATTTTTGATCGAATCGTAGAGAAAATTAATTGAAATGCGCATAATTTGATTTGGACATTCCTAATTGAAAAAATCTAAAAAATTAAAAGCACTCAATCATTGAATGGTATTTGAACTTTGAATGCTAGATAAGTACATCGTTTAAACTTGGATGATTATCTGATTGGGGAGAGACTAGGTAAAAAATGTTATCTTTTAGTACTGTATTAAAGTTATGATTCAGTCAAGAACGTTATAATTGAGTTAAATTAAGTTACAATAAAACATGATCGTTTGAAATAGCCCTTACAATAATTTGGCGCTGATTGATTCATAACTTGATTTCAATTACATTATATCTGACTTTTTAAACTGTAATTTAACCAATCAAGTTATAAATTAACTCTTATTGATGATACAGTTGTTCTTCCCATTGCTGTCTGCTGAATAGTAATGGCAGAGGGTACAATTTTATAATGCTCTTTGAAGAACATGCAGACAATTCATAGTCATGCAAAGCTCTATTTCCTTTTAGTGGTCCTTAGAGACATATAATGGCAATGTGGACGCCATTCAAAGGTTACGGGTTACCTAATACAAACTTCCAACAACCCAGTGGTTGTTTGGTTACAATGAGAGAGAGAGAGAGAGAGAACGTTCTTTGTGAGGTCTCAGTTATACAACAAATATATTCTATTATAATCTCATCTAAATCGTCTCTTGATAAATAATAGTTCAAATGAGAAGATTTTAAGTATCTGAAATACGAGTTGATTAGCTTTTTCACGTCCATTAACCTTTTTCTTATTATCCCATGAAAGAAGTTTGGTTTAGTAAGAGTCATCTAGAGGCCTAGACCAAACTCCTAACCGGCTTGATAGATTCGTGTCAAGTCAGGTATAAAATTGATGAGTAAATTATACAAATAATTCTTAAACTAAGATTTTTGTGTCAATTAAGTTTCTAACTAATTTTCATTTCAATTGAGTTTCTAAATTCTTAAATTTTATCAATTAAGCAATACTTGAATTAATTTTCGTGTCAATTGAGCCTCTAAATTATAATATTTTAACAACTAAATGTGCTCCCCACATGGATAACAAATTATGTGTATTTTTGACTATTTGTTCGAAATCTATTAAATAAATAATCTCATTTCTTATACTCATCAATCGAAACCCTAAACTTAAACCTCTTTCATATCCATCAAACGAAGCAGGTCAGAAAGCTCTAAAAAAAACTTACATTTATGTCATCTACTTTCTATACCAGATCGAAGTGCTTGTTGATTTATTTTATTTGATGGGCAAAAAAGATGTTTATGCTTAGAATTTCGGCTAATGAGTATAAAGAATATGGTTCTTCATCTGATGAGTTTCGAATAAAAAGTCTAAAATACCTCTAATTTGTTGTTCATGTGGTAAGCACTAGAGACATTCCGTCCAAAAATCTAACGTTTGATGGCACAAGGGCTTAATTGCTAACATTTTAAAGTTTTGGGTCTCAATTGACACAACAATTAGTGGAGAAATTTAATTACTAAAATTTTAGAGTTTTGGGACTCAATTGACACAAAAATTAGTTTAAGGGTTTAATTGATAGAAGAGTCATAATTTAAGGGTCATTTGTATAATTTACTCAAAATTGATTGAATCAAACAGGTTTAGTAGGTTAGGTCCAGGACCGATCAACGAAAGTAGTCTGATTTCCCTAATGCTAGTCTATTACACTAGTTCGATATTTGAAAAACTAACCGTTATATCTATCAAACTATATATTACGCTTCTTTTAGTAGCTTTCATAGTTCAATTTCGATTAATTTGTGTTTTTTATACATCTGCCATTCCCCATGACAACTGCATAGATGATTTGTAATTCACCTCTTCCATTGTTATCTTGGCAAATGGTGTAATAGATTCCTCGTGTGGACTTATGAACTTTATTAAAAGCATAAATTCAGATTATGATAATTCTAACTAAGAATATTGTTAGAGAGAGAGAGAGGTTGGGGCATCTTGGGTCAACCATAAAAGTTTTACCTAAAATCATTGTATATTATTTGACTTTGGCTCTTCCTTTAAACTTTCTTTGTGTCATGAAGTAAGCTACCCTTATACAATAGGAAAAAAAAAAGGGAAGGAAGTTGGTAACAGCTGCTATAGATGTTAAGTCTACAACTATAAGTATCAAAAAAAAGAAAAGTATCAAAAAAATTCTACAACTACATCCTTAAAACAATATTGGGTTGAAGGTTGGAGAATCTGGTCTTTACTAAAAGGCCAAATGGACCTCACTAGTTATTTTTAACAGTTGGCAAGAGTAAGTTCGTTTTACTATGATATAAATTTCATGTTTTCGAGTTATAGAAATAGTATTTGTCCATGTAGAGATAAGTGTGAGTATAATTGACCCTCTTTAGATCATGTAGTATTAATCAAAAATTTTATACACTAGGCTACTCTATTTGTAATGAAATTTGGATCTACCTATTGTTTACCGATGGAGTCTCAAGAGTACGATTAGCAACATTTAACACGACGTTTAGCCCAACGTGAAGCCAACCACAAAATTATACAGTATGGATTTAGCCCTAAAAGATTTTTTTTCATAAATAGATTAATCCCACATGACCTATTTAAATTTAATCCGGCTAAACACTACTAGTCCATGAAATAATGTCAACTATAGGTGAATATAGATATGTCGAATTTAAGTTGAAAACGTTTTGACGCAACAGGATATGATTTGTTGATGGTCTTCCCCAATACTCAGAAGTGATCAGTTGGGTAAAAGAGTAGACACTAATAAGTTGCTTAGGACAGACACGACACCCTTTGTGTTATATTTATTTGATACCATAAGTTCAGAAAGTTAGGTTTCAACTACTTATTCGATGCATTGTACATGGTTTTGGATAGTTGAATCCTCCAAAGTGTGATTATACCCTCCTCTTTTTGTCATTGACTTGATTTAACTTACTCTCTTCTATTTGGATAATGCAATTGTTTTTCAAACGTATAATCAGCTTCAAAGACTTGACTTTTTTTCATTGAATAGAGTGCTGGCCAACCTAACCAATTCTGATTTGTTTTTTCTTTATTTTTTTCTCCAAACTTTGAATAACATGGGTTACAAAAGGTGACAACCAAGTCGTGTGGACTAGTGACGTTTAGTGCACGTGAAGGGTATTACCAAGTCGTGTGGACTAGTGACGTTTAGTGCACGTTAAGGGTATTACGGTCTTACTTGAGATCCGAAAAGAGAAAAAAATTGGGTGTAACGGTGACATTACGTTGTCACCATCCAATAAAAACATAATAAATAAGCAAACGGATTCCACAAATTGTAATAACCACCACCCAACTGGGGTTAACCTAATTTATTTGTAGGTTTATTATTGGTTGGTGATATCTCGTATCAATAATGATGTGGTATCACCGTTACACCCAATATTTACCCAAAAAATTTATATCCCAAGTTCAATTCATGAGTGACGTTAAAAACAATCTCTAATTTTTTACACAAACTCATACCAAATGAAAAAAAACTTATTTTTTACACAAATTGAGACTCAAATTTTTACTTAAATCTCCAATTGTCAAATTTCACCATCCTTTTAACTCCAACGGTAACTCAAATTTGAATAAAAATTTGGGACAAGGTTAGAAATGGCCTAACATATTCATGTAACTATCATCCGGTGGTACATGTGTATGATGTTGCTGAGGCAATCCTCCTAGCATATGAAAATCCAGAGACAGAGGGAGAAGATACATATGTTCTTCGTACAATGTTCGAGCACAATTGAAGAGCATGTTTCGATCAAAGACATATTTTTTTTGTCGAATGGTATGACCCTTAAATTGGAGTAGAATGTAGTGCTTACATGTGATCGGAGGAAACCGAAGTTTGTAGCAAGGTTCATGAGGCCTCAAAATAACATGTATCCACACCCACAACCAGAGATTAAAATCGAAACACATCGAAACTATTCTTTCCCAATGGTATGCCGACCAATGTAAGTAAAAATAGTCAAATCTAACTATTTTCTAGTGATTAAGCCATACTCATTTAAAATTGTTCTCGACTCTCGTGTGATTATCAAGTAAGATTCGATTCATGGAAGCAATGCAGTTTGCTGTTTAATTTTGATAGTGTTGTGGTAACGAAATGCCCTTCTGAATTAGTAATTATAGTTCAAACTAGACATTCTATAATATGAGAACCCTCATAGTCACACCTAGAAGGGTTACTACCTATTGGCCACCGCTTCCTTTACTTGATAAAAAAAAATCTACTTTTTAAAAGACAAGTAACTACTAAATGTAGTAAAACTTGTGTATCTACAGCCCAAAATTGCAGTAACAAGGCACACTTACGTAATCTTCAGGGGACTTCATGTACGTGTCATTGAAAAAAGCAGTACTAGACAGTAGGCAAAAGAATATTAATGTGACTAATGTTATTGAGATCTAATTTATTGACTTAATTTGCTAACTTATATCGATATAACCCTTAGACTGACCGTAAACTTCACCAAACATTAAAACTTTGTGTTAATCTAATAACGATAATTTACTATTGATGATACTTTCTGGATCTGAGCACTCCCTGTAGTGTTTTGTATCCCTCCCTTCATCTGCACTTCCATCACTTGATGTGCTTTCTGAAATATTGGTTTGCTCAGACATGGTTGGGTCATCCTCTTCTTCAAAAACCTTACACATTACAATATTTGATATCTAAAAGAGGAGAAAAAACATAGTTAGAAAGTTGCCAACTTATCTTCATGGTGCATCTGACACTAGGTAAGGGTAAGCTAAAAAAGAAAGGAGGCCTTACTTTATGAATTAATTACCAATTTACGGCAATTTTAAAACAAAATTTTCAAATTACAACACTTTTTTATTTATCTACTGAATTATTGCACTTTTTAAAAAGCGGGGTTGTTAACCCTGGATTTTAACAAAAGCGGAGTTAATAAACCCACTTTGAAATAAAAGTGAGTAGTCTCCGACCAAAACATTAAACATGTTTGAACTTAAAAGTGTTACTTTTTAACAAAAGCGGAGTTGTTGACTCCACTTTTAAAAAGTGTCGTACATATTCAGTTAAGATTTAGGAATGTAGTCTATGTGTGTTGAGATGAGAGGAGATCACCTTCTCTTTAGTACTTTCATCAAGTTCGCTAGCTGCAAATATATTGGTGTGTGCACTGTATTCACGTATCATCCAACGAGTCTTTGTCCCTGACCCTGGGTTTCCATGATAAAAAACCAGCTTTCGCTTGAAACCGATTACTTTGTAATCTGCAACAATTTCTTCATCCGATAGAGAATTCCAATAACCATCCTTTGTGACAACATCGTGTTTCGACTTGGTGGTGAAAAAATACCACCTAACCCCGCTACCGTACTTAAACTTACCTGCACATAAATGACAAAAAATGCGATCACACAATTAGTTTTTACCCAAACTATGCGAGAGCCAACACACTCTACAATGTTAGAACAAAAAAAAGAAAAAAGGAAAGTCAATTTGCCATATAAATTAGATTGAGTTCGAACAAATAATTAATGAACAGTGTTAGCATAATTGAAAATTTGTTGTTTTTGATAACTCGAGATGTCTAACTAGCAATATTAAGTAATATAAGACTGTTCAAGAAAATCTCAAGGGAACCATGTGAGATTCAACACCAAATTAGAGGTGATGCAGTGTAACCTCAGAAAATATGAGGTACCTCATGAACTAAGGCCAGCCCATAAGGGGTGCAAGTGTAAATTTTGCACAAATAATCCATGAAAATCATATATCTAGAGGTGTCCAAACCCGTTAAAACAACGTGAACACAATACGAAATTTGATGGTGTAGGTATTCCTTAAGCTACCTGTTTCATAAACAAGTTAATCTGACACAACACAATTAATAAAAAGAAATATACAACATGATTGGTTTATATATTGTTTATACACAATATAAACCTGATACTACACGATTCGTTAGAGACGAATTAACAAACGAATCGAGTATGAGTAAAGTATTTTTTGATACGAACTCGCCTCATTGGACGAGATTAACAGGCCTAATTGTCACATGACTCACCCATATTGTCACCAGATCAAACAAAACCTGGTTGAGAATTAACTCTTGACTTCCCAATTTTTTGTTTGTTAGGGGATTGACTGGAAAAAACCTGATATGCTTGAAAAATATACTTTCAGATTACTAATTCGAGCCGGGAAACCAAAATTACCAACATATCATGAATGAACACATTCAAAAGTTTTTTCTACTAAAGCATTGGTACTACTATTCCACACATGGTTTTACAAAGTTTTGTGAAACAATTTGATTATGTACATGTATATTAATTATATTCAAACAACCAGAACTTGAGTCGAATTGATCGTGTCACGTGCAAAGTACATCTTTTAACAATGACATAGTAGCATTGAGAATTCATATGTAAACACCAGAACACATTCAATTTACCTACGTATATGCATATACACTGACATGATTAACCATGAATATCATTCAAAAAAAATCAAAAATAGTCCATAGAAGTTACTGAATGGAAGCTCCTCGGGGCTGGTGGAATAGACATCGACAGTAGGGATTATATCAGATGGAAGCGGTTGGCCTAAAATCTTGCCCTTCAAATAGATCATAATTTCTGGTTTAGTTGGTGCAAACATATACCCCAATGGTAGTTTCAACTCATTATTATCAGAAGAATTTGAAGAACCCATTTTCCCGACATTCATGGCGTGTCTTAGATCGAACTAAAAATTAGTCGAGATGCACCCAAGTTAATCCGGACACCCGATGATAATACTCAAAAAGATGGAAGCTACAGAACAGCAAAATTTGTTAATTTTGCTGGATCTGCCTCTGCATATATGTACCTGTATTCAAGACGGTGGAAAGAAACTAGGTTAACATTCCAAAAACTTCGAGGAATAAGAGAAATTTAAGATTCATTGTAAACAAACCCTGTTTCATCGCATGTTGATGTCTCTGAGCCATCATTAGGGTTTGGCACTTTCTCTTTCTTACACCAGGCTTAGTGATTCTCCTATGTACATCTGAGTTGGGTAATTAAGTAGGTATTATACCAAATTTGTAATTGGGTTAATGGCAATTTCCAAAATCTTCGCCGTATGAAAATATGGATTTTATTTATAATTAAATTAAATAATAAATTTTGTGCTGGAGAATTATTTTATATTTTATATTTTGATAAATTTAATTATTAAAAAAAATTAAATACAACAAATATTTGATGTTAAATCCAATTTGATAACTATATATATAGTAATAGAATACAATCTCATCTCTGCTTCTTCATATAGATACAAACACATATACAAAAAAAATTGTATAAAAATGTATTACTTATAAAAGAACTAGGTATAACCTGTGACTGAAGGCACGATAGGATATAAAATTCGAGTTCCAAAACAATTGATCTTGCTAATTTAAATAATAATTGTTTTATTTTATTTCTTTAATTACATCATTCAAAATTTATTTTTACTCAAAATTTTTTAAAAAATATTAATAAATTTTTCTCAAAAAACGTAATTCGATAAAATTTTCTCACATGTGATAGAAATAGGTGATGTGATAGTTTTAGAGGGAAAAATATGTAGGAGATAAAATTCAACTTTATATATGTTTTATTATATAGATCTAAAAAAAATTGAAAGTTAAATATTACTCATAAACAAAATTAGATGAAAGAAAATATAAGAATAGAATTGATTTGATTAAAATAATTAGGAATAAAATAGAAAATAAAAAGTTTTTTTAATATATGTTGACATTTATAAGTAGTAAATAAATATTGATATAAATATTAAATATGGATATAGATTATTTAGGTAGTAGTTTTTCTTGAATTTTTCATATTTTTCACCTCGAAAGATTTCAAGTTTTTTAGTTTGCACTCTCAAATATTAAATTTTTTACATTATACTCACAATATATTAAAAATATTACAATGTGATCATTTTATTAATTTTTATTTTTTTTCCTTTAAAAATATATTTTTGGTGTTGGAGTTATTGAGTTATTGCTTATCACTTAAGTTTGGTTAGAGTTGACCTCTTCAAGTTTTGTTAATAATCTTTATTGAATAGGGATTTGTTGTTAGATTTGACCTATTCATTAGCTACTGTTACCACGTTTTTAGGTGTGTTTTAGAACATGGGCCGTTTGATATCTTTTCTCTATCATGTAAGGCTACATAAGTCACCGAGTTTGTTTCAAGTTGAGTAAGAGTGTTATTCATCAATTACTCATAATTATTTGCTTAAGGGTTTTTGGGTTTTACAATTGGGCGGTCATATTTTTGCAGTTACCCAAGAAAAAAAACTTTGGATATGACACGAATTGGTTTACAGAAACAAGATTGATTAATTTAAGTTAAAAAATAGCTTAAATTTCAACACTCCCCCTATATATTAGTGTAATTTTAAGTACACCCCCTTGAAATTACACAAATTTCATCTTCTTCTTCCTTCTTTTTTTTAACAGCAGCATATACTACAGTCTACTTCCTTCATTCCCACAACCCATGGCATGACAATCTTCATAGCCCACAGAAACACAACCACCACCAGTCACGACCAACAACATATGGACCATTTCACAAATTCAATCCGCATGCATCAACAACCACTGAAATCAAAAATAAAAATAAAAAGAAAATCAAACAAGGGAACAATGCTACTTTGACTTTATTTACTAATTTATTGATCAAATGAATCACTGCAATTAGATTGATAGTGGAATCCACTGTTAATTGAGATATGTTACCAATTCAATAATTTATAATACATTAGATATATAAATTAAGTCCAAAAAATATTTTCTGATACGAACAATCCATTCACTACTAGTTTGAGTTGGCATACACGAAAGAGAGAGGGGAGAGGAAAGGGGAGTAAAAAAAACTTGTTTGGATACGAACAATCCATTCAACGAGGTTTTTTTTTGTGTAGGAGGGGGGGGGGGGGGTTGGGTTTGGGTTTTCATTCCAAATTGACTTTGTTAATTTAATTTCGACTAATTAGTTGCTAACGCAAATTTTAACGTCGATTGGGATTGTCGTGTCATTTGACCTAAAACCTAAACTCAGGAGGTTTGTTTGATTTTTACCTTTATGATCTTCACCAACCAACAAAACTCAATTGGATACTCATTAATATTATTGTAATTTTGAAGAAATTTATGTTCATGGAAGTTAAAATTATATTATCAAAATTTGCAAAGATAAGGTAAAATATTTACGATAATTCAAAGCCTGAAGTTTAGATCAATAGGGCCCAAGATTTGATTTTTTTTTTTTTTTCAAATGCATCAATAATTAGTGGTGTAAGTTGGTTATGTCACTCAAATTGAGCCCCCTTGTACAGGTGCTATTTGGGGGGAGGGGGGCCAAAAACCCAAACTCTATTTACAGTCGGATAAGTGGGGTTGATATCTTGGGTTCTCGAGAACCTGAACCAACTCAAATTAGTAAACTCAAGTTCAATTCAAATCGCATTTGAATTCTAGCCGGAGTTTTGTAATTTAAGTGCCAAATTGAATTGAACTCGATTTCAATTCTTTTTGCAATTTGGCCTACATGTTTAAAATTTAAACATGGACAATAATTTGGTTGGAGGATTCGAATTGCGTTCGAGTTCGGATTGGTCTCGAATTAAAATTTTTATATCTTTGGTTCAGTCTAGATTGACCTCTCAACTTACAAGATCCATTCGAGCTACAACCCTAGCAAAAAAACAACCCATCCAGATCAAGGAGGGGAGACATAGAGGTTTGCTAGAATAAGCACATTAACAAGGATGAATAGTATTACATTAGAATTTAACTCAAACTCTTTAATTGTTACGAAGAAAAATTTTGTTGGTTAATCAATGTGAGAATCATATATGGAATAGGGGAAGAATTTTAATATACCATAAATATGTATATTAAACATGTGATAGGAAACATAAAAATCAAGTTGTATTTGAATGGTTTTGGATTATAAGATTTTATCCTTATAAATAGGGATGTGTATTATGTAATCAATTATCAAATGACCAAATTTCAGTTAATAATACATTGATATAAGTTTTTAGCCTGTGGATGTAGGTATGGTGTACCGGGTGGGTATGTTGTATCGAACCATATTATATATTTGTGTTAATTTATTTTATTGTTTTTCTTATTTTTGAATTTCTATCTTTCAACAAGTATTATTTGTACTAATTATCCGTTGTGCAAAACGGTATCAAAGCTAAGTTCCAAGAAATGGTATTAGAGCTATGTTTCAAGAAATAGTATCAGAACTATGTTCTAACAAATGATATCAGAACTATGTTTCATCATATTATAATCTTCTTTAATCGCTACTTAGCTTACTATTATTATTTGTAGGCACAAATGAATTTTGGGGTATGTGACTTACCTGACGCCCCTCTGGAGCACTAAGAAATGAAATCGACTTTGTTCTGTTTTTGTTTTTTTCAGTATGAGGCAGATCCTGAATCAATGTGATATCCAGGCAACAAACTGACCGGCTAGTTTATTGACAAACAAGCCCAGCAAACCCAAATACAAAGTGGAGTCCCCAATCTGATCCATTTTGAACCGATAAATGGATGATCACAATATTAAATTCTTTTAGCAGTAAAAAGGACAAGCTAACTACAACTAATAGATTGCTTCAAGCGGAAACAAAAAAATATTAGCCTTGTTAAAAATGTTGAGTGTATTGTTTCACTTGAACCTGTTCTAGATGCACTGAACCCAAGACTTTCCAAGTTGCTTTGTGATAATCAGGGAATGAATATTCACATTTTGGACCTCCTTGTGAGAGGAGCTCCAACTAAGACGTGTGTAAAAGAGAATGGTGAGACAATTGGTGCGTTTCAAGTGAAAGATGTACCCATTTTGTGTGTGAGTACGACGCGTTCGAGTCATAATTTCCAAGAATTTTCTCCAGAATTTGCCTAGCGATTGAGCTTGCGTTCGTCAACACCGCACTGAATTATACCAAAACCACTGATCCCCTTGCCACCAACACATACAAAATCACCATCTCTCCCCCTAACATACACTTCCTCTCTCTCCCTTTAACTAAAAAAATTTATCAATAGTTAGATATGCGGTTTGGTTGAGTTGTGTACCGATGAAATTCGTTTATTACGACAGTTCAAGTGTCTGACAATTTTATTTTGACCAAAACCTGTTGAGTCCTTGTTAGGGGAGGATAGTTATAAAAGGTAAGTACAATTAAGATAGTCTTGATCTTTGAGAGTGGGTATCCCAATAATCTCTCTTCCACATGCTCTTATCTTCCTGGGCATCTTAAATCTTGGACTGGGTCGAATTGATGAACCGGACTTGGCCTGCATTTCTAGTAAATTTAGGCTTACTTGATTTACTGGACCTACCTCAATTAGATCTGGCCTCGTCAAAAAGTACTTAGATATTAGTTTTCAATAATCAGAAATGTATAGAATTGAACGAGAATAGAAATAATGAATTTAATAATTTTGTATTTGAGAGTGTAACAGAGTGTGAATGGATATTTATGTGATCAAAATAGTCCCACCTATAAGATTTAGTTTAGGTATTATACCCAATTAACAATGTCTCTCATTAGGAGAATTTGGGGTTTATCATTAGGTCTTGAAATATTGTGGTTAGATCTGGAAATTCTATCCCATTAATTCTTTTGCTAAATTAATCACTATAAACCCATAAAAAATTGCAGCATAATTATAAGAAATTAAATGTACTTTTACTGATTGTTTTTTGTTCTGTTTTTATACTTTTATGATTGAACTAAAATGTGTTGAAAGTTAGGGGAAGAAATTGATAAAAAAAATAAATAAATACTTTAATGACCAAAATAAAAATTAGGTAAATTTTGATGGAAAAAAAATAATTAAAATTTTGAAATTAGAGAAAGTTGAAGGTTAACATTGACAGAAAATGACTTTTCACCAACCAAATTAGATATTACTGAAACTTCATGGTTAAAAATTAATTTAAGCTCCAAAAGAGAATTTGTATAAACCTATAATCTTAAAAGCATGATTAATCATGTACTCTTCCTTTAATAAAAAACTTCTCAACGAATTTTTTTTAAAAAAACCTTAAATAATTCACTAATTATAGGATAAATTACACTTTAATCCCTTAACTATAATATTATTTTGACATTATCCCCTCAAATATTATTCAATTATTATGTATCTCATATTATACCTTCAATTATATGATTAGTTTCATATCACCTCAACAATTAACATTCGGTTGAAAAGTCCTTTTATGTTGCCCTTAAAATATATAAGCTTTTTATCACTTTACCTTGACATTAGGAGTGACAATTTTTGACATAATACGATAATACGATACAAAATTAGTAGATTTTTTTTTTCCTAAGGCTATTTGATGTGAGATAGTCCCGGTGGGTTACAATTGATCAATTCTTAATACGAATATGTAAATGACACGACTCATTAACACGAATAATAAGTGGGATGAATTAGGGTCAAACACGAATAATACGAAATTGACACGATTAACACGTTTAACTAATATTATATAAATAAAATATTAATTATTTGGTATTATTTATTAAGCGTTAACATAATTATTGTGCCAAAAAAATATTTTTACTCATTTATTATTATGTTTATTAAGTTACGAAAAATGTATAAGCATGAATTTAATTAATTGATAATAGAATATTAGATTTAAATCTTAACGTTAAATTATTTATTTAAAATTTATATGAATCAACACGAACACGAACACGAACACGAATTAAAAAATAAATAAATCAATTGATACGATATAATTAATTAAATAGATCGAGATAAAATTAATTAATGTTCGATACAAACTCATAATAATACGACACGATACGATTGACACCATATTTGACATCTAAGGCAACTTCTATTAAAAAAGATAAAATGCCTTTGGCGAGTCAAAGTGTACTTTTTTCCTAATTTACTGATAGGCTCCCACCCTCCTTCCAAGATAAACCATAGGAAAAACAGAAAGGGGCAACCCCCTCCGCCACCCACCGCCCAATTCCTCATCCACCACCACCGCCACTACCACTATGCCAATCTTCAAGACCCCATTCAACGGCTATGCCGTAAAATTCAGTCCATTCTACGAGCACCGCCTGGCCGTCGCCACTTCCCAAAACTTCGGCATCCTCGGCAACGGCCGCCTCCACGTGCTCGACCTCTCTCCCGGCGGACCCATCACCGAATTCGCATCCTTCGACACAGCCGACGGCGTCTACGATATTTCCTGGTCTGAAACCCACGATTCCCTCATCATCGCCGCCGTCGCCGATGGCTCCGTCAAGCTCTACGACTTAGCTCTACCTATCACCTCCAACCCAATTCGATCACTCCAGGAACACGCTCGGGAAACCCACTCTGTGGATTACAATACTGTGCGTAAAGATTCGTTTCTTTCGTCTTCTTGGGATGATACAATCAAGCTATGGACGATTGACAGGCCCACGAGTGTACGGACGTTCAAGGAGCACACGTATTGTGTGTACGCCGCCGCATGGAATCCTCGTCATGGTGATGTTTTTGCTTCTGCTTCCGGTGATTGTACTGCTCGCATTTGGGACGTGCGCGAGCCGGGTTAGTTAATTTTTCAAATACGTATTAATTTTCTTGATTTTTTTTTTATAATTTGCTTGCTATCATAATGAATTTGAGTTCTGGGGAATTCTTTATTAGGGAATTAGGATGAGGAAAATAGTGTAAATTCGCAAAATTTTAGCAGTATTAGTTAATTTTCTTAATTTATTTTTAAAATTTGCTTGTTATCATAATGAAATTGGGTTCTGGGGAATTCTTAATTAGTGAAATTAGGATTAGAAAAATAGTGTAAATTCAAAAAATTTGCTTGTTATCATAATGAATTTGAGGTCTGGGAATTCTTAATTAGGGAATTACATGATGGAAATAGCGTAAATTCACAAAATTTTATCAGTGTGAAGAACGGTGATTGGTATGATTTTTGTAAATGTAGAAGACAATATGGTCGTGCTTTAAAATTTCGTTGAAAAAATTAGAGACTTTTTTGGGTAAAAAATAAAATTACTTGAAACATTTGGGAATTTGAATATAATTGGGTGCTTTTGGAATAAGCTTGTTGGATTATCGAGTCTTAGTTTTAGTGTAAGTACAGGGATAAAGTTTAAGTTTTTGCAGGAAAATTGGAGACGGTTGTTATTATGATTCGTTGCATATGAAGTTCGGAATCATCCTTATATTGATTATATTGATTGCTTTTCAGGGTCTACCATGATTTTACCTGCACACGAATTTGAGATACTGTCGTGTGATTGGAATAAGTACGATGATTGCATCATTGCGACTGCATCCGTTGATAAGTCTATAAAAGTTTGGGATGTGAGGAATTATAGGATGCCCATTGCAGTGCTCAATGGGCATGGCTATGCGGTGAGGAAGGTGAAGTTTTCGCCACACAGAGGGAGTGTGATTGCTTCATGTTCCTATGACATGACAGTGTGTTTGTGGGATTATATGGTGGAGGATGCACTTATTGGGAGGTATGACCACCATACGGAATTCGCAGTTGGGGTGGACATGAGTGTGCTTGTTGAGGGGCTTTTGGCAAGTACCGGTTGGGATGAACTTGTTTATGTTTGGCAACACGGGACAGACCCGAGAGCACCTTAAATTGCAGTTTTTTTTTTCTTACTTTTTACTTTTGATTTTAAATAGAACTTGCATTATTTAGGGGACGGGGGAGAAAAATATGTTTGTATACCTGTTTTTGGGTGTTCTGTGGTGATGGTTTTGAATAATTGTACTATTTTGTTTCTCTATTTAGTTAGGGTTTTGGTGAAAAACTCGATCAATAACACCATGACCCTGTTTTCGTCATTGTCCCTACAGAACAGTGGTGTTTCATACTCAAATCAATTGAGCTACATCCGAAAAGTGTTTTAGAAGTGTTGTGCTTTTTAAATTGTTATGAGCCTCTCTTAAATGAGTATGACTTGCCAGAAATGTTCAGTCTTGTAGGATTCATTTGACATGTTGGAAGTGGTATTATTCTATGGTGGAACAAACTGTGTATTAACTTGTTGGATTGCTTTGATTCTGTCATGTTTGATGCTATCATGTTGCGGGCTTGTGTTCGAGTTTTCTCTTCACA